CCTGATATTTCTTTAGGTGAGTCACCTGCCTTTGTTTACATTGATCAATAATTCAATCTCCCTTTTGGGTTTCCATAAAATAACATTGAATCAACTTGATTATGGTTATCTCTTTTTCACTTAGTCTGCCATTAGTCATACACCAAAATTCTAACCTTTTCTTAAACAATCTGATTACAAAACCTCTGGCTTGGTGAAACGAAATGGAGTCCTCGCATGTAGGGTTGTTCATCAGGTCAACCCGATTGGGTTTTGAGTTAAACAGGTCGGTTAGTCGGGTTTTTTCTTAAAAAAAATGACCCTAAACCCAACCCAATTAAGGTTCAGGTTAATAGGGTTAGGGTTACTTGGGTTCTGGGTTGATCGGGTTAAAAATAGAATTGAAAACCAACTGATAGATCCAACACAAATTATCCCAGCTATCCCAAAACACAAAACTGGGCAAAACCAAGTCAAAAGGATAAATCTGTCCAAATCTTAGAAAAACTGAAAAAAGACCCTATTTTCCAGGAAAAAAAAACACAGATCTCATAATACCCTTGTACCCAAACCTCACCAATAAACTAATATCAACTTTTACCCACCAATTAACATCAGGTGTGTTAAACTTTGAAATTATAGCTATTGATGAAGTGGTTGTTACTTTCAGATTATCAAGAATTATTAAGGAAAGAACCTTGGCATTTATTTACCTCATGAATTGGCAGCAAGTGAGTCACACAAAGACACAATAGTGCAAGTCACTAAACAAAGCTCAATTTCGTAGGTATTAATAGTTACATTACCTCATATTCTTGTATTTTGGGTTTTTTTCTTGGATTTTGCTGTTATTTTTTGGTTTTTAATTGATAGGTAAAAGTTGATCTTAGTTTATTGGTGAGGGTTGGGTACAAGGGTGTTATGAGATATGTGGTTTTTTTCTTCTGGAAAATAGGGTTTTTTCACTTCTTTTGGGACTTGGACATATTTACCCTTTTAGCTTGGTTTTGTCCTAGTTTTATGTTTTGGGATGTTGGGATATTTTGTGTTGGTGGTATTAGTGGGTTTATGTGTCCAGTTATGATTTTATGAGTTGGATTTTCTGTTTTGGGTATAGATGGTATTGGATAATTTCATGGGAGAGTCATACTCTATTTTGGAGGATTTCTTTTATAAATAGAATAGCTTGGATTCTGAGGGTGTTTAAATTGTTTGGAATTATGATTTTGGGAATTAGTTTTGTTATGTTAAGTAGAAATGTGTTGGGGCTCTTCTAGTCAATTAAGTCTTTTTAGAAAGCTAATACATGCAATCATTATCAGTTAAGATTTCGGAAAACTCATAGTATAACTAATGCAATTTATATAAACTATTACGATTATGGATTCCTCCCGAACAAAAGAAATGAAACTAAACAACATAAGAACAAAGTAACATAAAAGGCAAAAGGAAGATGATGTCACCTATCCATGTAGTTGTAACGTCCCAAAACAGTGATAAAACTTTTCATTTTTAAAATCATCCAAACTATACATTAAGTATCTCAAAATCATCATACACAGTTGTATCAAAATGTCAGATCATAAATATCAGAGTATTCAACAGAAGACTCACTTGAACTATTCAACCCATGAGTTATAGTGAGAAGACTTACTTGAACTATTCAACAGAAGCTAACAGCTACCCCAACAATAGAATAGACAAACCAAGCTTCCTAAAGCTAAACAGAGACCAATCCTTAATCAAATACTCAATTGTACCCAAGTTTGACCAAAAGTCAAATTGCTCAAAAAGTCAACTCCAGCTGACGCCCGCGTCGTGGCCTAGCCGTGGCAGAATCAATCCAGTCACGATCAAAATCTACTACCACGTCGTGGCAGAATCCAGGCAAAAAAAATCATAAATAAACTTGTCGCCATGTTGTGGAGAGCATCATGTCACGTCGTAGGCACATCCGGACAAAACATACATGATAAGTCCCGCCACCACGTTATGGCCTTCCTTAGCCACGTCGTGGTCTTCAGTCTAAAAGGTTTTTCTTCAATAAGGGCTTAATCCACAAGGACCAAAGCTAAAATCTTCATATCTGATTCCTAATAGTTTCATATTGGATAAAGTTTCCAACTTTATCCATTAAGATGGTCTAGACCATCAAGATCTAGACTTTAAGTCTCAAAGGGACCCAAAAATGCATCTTTCTCAACTTAATTCATTAAGTCCAAGTCTCCACCTTCATATCTGAATCAACAAGATGTCTAGATGGATAAAGTTTCCAACTTTATCCATAATAATGTCACAATCTTTCAAGATCTAAACTTTAATACATCAAAATAGCCTAAAGGACCAAGATAACTTGCACGGATAAAAAAAGAAGGCAAAAGATCATAACTTTCCTAGTCAATGAGGTCCAAGAAGCATTCCAAACTGATCAAAAGATGTTTGAGTCCACTCAACTCCAAGATCACTCATAAAATGCACCAAAAATTCCAAAAACCACAAATAAAGAGATCTAAAGAACTAAAGAGCAAGATTGAAACTTTATACTCACAATAGTCCATAAATGTAGTGCCTTAGATAGATCCAAGCTTGAAGCATCATTCCTTGCAACCAAAAGAGACTTCTTAATCATTAAGCTTCATCAAAATATTATAAAAAGCATCCAAGAGAGGAGAGAGGAGAAGGGAGGAGCTCAAATCTTGAAGATGGAGGCTAGGGTTTATCCCAATGGGTTCTAAATATGATGGAGGTTGCTAAAATGCCCAAAAATGCAGAACCTTATGCTTAAATACATTGGAAACCCTAAAATCATGGGCTTGGGCCAGACAGACTGCCACTCCGTGGCCACATTTCTCCACTCCATGGCCTACCACGCCGTGGAGCTCTGATCTCCACTCCGTGGCGACGGTTTTTCACCCAAATCCATTCCAGCTTCAATCAGCCGTAATTTCTTCGTTTCAACTCCGTTTCCGGCGATCTTTATATCCACGAAAAAGTATTGACGAGCCCTACAACTCTATCTAATTATTTTTACTTCAAACATACCGAAATAAAATCCTTAATTCAAGAAAGAAGTTTAAAACATCACTTTTCCCATTTTTACCCTTTGATTCCAAAATATAAATCAATGGCTTAGATCACATAACCAATATTATAGACATCCAATAGGGTCTAAACCATATTCTCTTGAAGCTCAACGCCTTTACTTGATCCATTTATTGTCCACAATCCCAAAATAATAAACTTCTCAGAATAAGATGTTACAACATATGTATTTTTGGGGCGTGGTGTTAACAAGACAATACCGAGGCCACGTTACACCCCATGGCCCCTCGAAGGTATTGTAGTACACCTTCAAACCTTACGATTTTTTTTTATGTTGGATTGGATTAAAAAGAATGGTTAATGATTTGTAAAGGTAACCAACTTTTTATAACTGCATATATTTAATCATTAAACTTTTTCTATGTGATCTATCACTTAATCTGTTAAATTATTCAAAATATAACAATATGACCGACAAAACTCATTATACTCGATCATAATTGTATTTTTTGAAAGAGTTAAATAGTAGTTCTCATAAAAAAAATTAAATAACTAAATATATAATTAATCTTTCACCTAATTATCTTTAGAAATATAAAGGCAACAAGCCTTGTATTTCAGCCCAATTGTTGGGTTTTCTTCCTACATCAAAAATAACTAATAAGGAAAAACTCAACAAATTAATCAATTAATATTAGCCTTTATTATTTGTTTATCGTTTATATAATTATTAAACTATGTGGATCCCACTAGGGATGAAAGTGGGTCCAAACCCGGACTGGATGGACCCGGACCCGGAAAACCCGGAACCGGTTAACGGGATTTTGTAGAACCGGACCGGTATATAGGAACCGGATCCGATTCGGTTCCGGGTACGGTACCGGGTAAAGTGGGTCTAGAACCGGGAAACGTGGAAACATCAAAGTGGGTTTAGAACCGGAAAACCGGAATTTTTTGGTAATTATTTATTTCTTAGTGGGTTGAACTTTAAAAATTTTCATATTGATATCCCGACTTTGGGGGATTGTAACTCATTGAATATGAAACCAAAATTGACAAAATTATAGTCTAAAATCATGTACAAACTCTAAACTACACTCTGGAAAAAACCGCATGTCAATCCGACTTTAAATGAATGAGATACGCATGTGTTAACATTTTCACAGAATACCAACTCCAAAACAAATAGCTGAAAAAGTTGAAAATTTTCAGTTTTGATATCCCGACTTCGGGGGACTGTAAATCATTGAATATTAAACCAAAAATGACAAAATTATAGTCTAAACTCATATAGAAACTCTAAACTACAAGTTGGAAAAAACCACATGTCAATCCGACTTCAAACGAATTAGATATGCATGTTTTAAAATTTTCACAGAATACAAAAAAACTGAAAAACTAAAAACTTTCAGCTTTGATATCTCAACTTTGGGGGACTGTAAATCAATGAATATAAAACTAAAAATGGCAAATTTATAGTCTAAAATCATGTACAAACTCTAAACTACACGTTGGAAAAAACCGCATGTCAATTTGGATTTGAAACGAATGAGATATACATATTTTAAACGTGTCACAAAAATCGGTTCCGGCCCTAAAAGTGGTTCCGGTTCCTAACACCAGTTCCGGTTTTTAGACCCAGGTTACGCGGACCCGATGGACCCAAACCCGGATTACCCGGAACCCGGATAAAGACAATTTTTAAACCCGGAACCGGAACCGGTTCTATATACTCCGGTTCCTGTCCGATTCCGATTCCAGACCGATTTTCCGGTTCTAAAACTCATCCCTAGATCCCACAATCCAAGTGTAGACTAGACACACGTTAGATTTTGACGAACCCTAAGATAACTACAATCCAAATGTCCAACGCTTTTCTTCAGAAATCCAAAGCCACATTTCACAACACAAATGGGTATTTTGCCTAAAAAAACATCAATTAGCAATTTAGAATAACCAGGTGAACCAAATGGAAGCGCTAAACAAAAACATCTAAAAGTATTAATTTATGTGAGCAATACTTAAATCCATGGAGACCATATACATGTGTTTTTTTACTTAACACAAAAAAACAACTTAATAAAAAAAATCACGAAAACAAAAACTTTCAACATCAAAATTTTCCCAAATTTATCAGACAACAGATAAATAGCAGATAACAGATAACACTTGCTCAAACGGCATCAGCACCGAACAGATTCCAATCATTAATTCTAAATGAAGAGACCGCTTGTTTAAAAACTTCAACCATCGCGGTTCGACCAGACTGTGCAGCCGGCACGGTTAAACCGGCTCCAACCGAGCTCGCACTTTCACTCAATGGGCTGCAACCACAACACAACATGGTTAAAGTGGTTCATAAATTCACAAAAAAAAAAAAAAAAGATATATACTTTATGAAGACAGGCTCGTATGCAGTAACAACTACATCTGTCCCAACTCCTTTGAGTCTCAAATTCGCCAAGTATACCTAAATAAATTAAAAAAAAAAATTAGAAAATTTGACATTATTTAAAAAACAATTTAATGGTGGATTAGATTATGAAATTATAAAAAGATACCTTCACTAGATTTTGTGCTTCTCTTCCTTGTCTTGCTTTAGAGATGGCCTACAACAAGAAATAGATAAAGGAATCAGAATTTGTCAAAAGAATTACAATATGTTTGGTTCGTATAATTTATTTTTTATATTTTGTAAATACACAAAATTGAACTTTTTGTTTTTATTTAATGCAAATTACAAAAAAAGAAATATTATATTTTGAGCAATTTTGCGATTTGACCACTAATACTTTCTTTTTTCCAATCAAACCAGAAAAGTTTCATATATTTTTCCAAATTAACCGGTTTGACTTGTTATATCAGTTTTTAAAGTAATTTCCAAATTAACAATTTTGGCCATTGTTATGAATATATGGGCTTAGTAAGAGAAAAATAAAAAAAAAAAGATTTATTTTTTATACCATTTGGGCATTAGCAGTTGTTATGACAGCTGGCAAGTTTCTGAATTGGAGTTCAGGAGCCTCAAACACTGCTGACTGCTCAGTCACCTGGATCAGATAAATAAAACCAAAAGATTTATTTTTCTTTTTAACATAAATAACAGGTATTTAAGATATTTGATCAATACTGGGGAAGAAAATTACGATATTGCCCTCGGCGCCTTGTTCTCTAGCAAGGTCTTGTAAAAAAACCAAGTAGCACTTCCATTGTCTTCAACATCATGTTTCAATTCTAAAAGCTCAAATATCAGGCTTTCATCACGTGCAGGGTCCACAAACACTTCCTTCGAACAAATAAAAATTTAATAACAAATAAGAAAAATATAATTTGATGTACAATTTATCAGTCAATTTGGGATTAAATTGAAGTTGGAAAAAATTTGTAATCTTATGGAAGAAAGAAACAAACCTGATGATCAGGAACTTCACGAATATTGCTCACATCCTACAATTGAAATTTTGAACTTTCAGTGAAGAATGTATATTAAACAAACAGAGACCTGAAAGGTAAATTACAAAACTAACCTCAAACCTAAGTGGGAAAGTAGTGGAAACTGCTCCACCAAACAGTGGTCTTTCTGGGAATTGTTCCATTGTTATGAAAAGCTGTAAAATTTCACTAGGGTTTATACTTTATAGAACATGCCTAAAAATGAAAATTTATATCAAAATATGGAATTAAAAACTTATAGATATATAAGAGAGCCTTCAGGTAAAACTTAATGAAACATAATGAGGAAAAGCTTTGATGCTTGCTAACAATTTGAATGAGCAATTTAAGCATTGTTAGTGACAAATTTGAGGAAAAGAGCTCAACTTTGACTTTTACGAGTCAAATAGACTAGTTTTTCAACTTCAAAATCGATGAAAATATATCTGTTTAAGGGGATGGATTCATTCTATAATGATTTGTAGAAAGATTTTGTACCTTGGACAGCATTTGAATTTGGAATGTGATAGATTTTGGTTGTATAAAATCATATCACAGAGATACAGACTGTATATATGTACAAGATTTTGCGGTTTTGAAGTATTAGATTTTATACAGGTGATCAGCCAAATCAGTTCCAAATGTACAAATTCTAATGCACGTTTTACAAGTTACAATAGCAATAATTTTCTAGGTATTCTACAAAAACATAAACTCTGAACTCGCAGTCGCAGATTACGAAAGCCACAAAATAAAATTATTTGAGAAAGCTGATTGTTTCAGAAGTAATGAACGATTACAACAAAAATATAGCAGAAAACAAACCTGTGTTGCCGATTAATTGCAGTGAAGAGGATGATTTGATTTGGGGGTGAGAAGAAATAAATTGGTGTTAAAAACTAGTAATTAGCTTGAAAGTTAAGCAGAAGATTTTGGGGTGAGAACAAAGAAATTATTAAAATCTTGTAATTAGCTTGAATATGAAGCAGACGCCATGGCGAATTGGCGAGGGAAATCTCGGAGACTTGAGACTGCTAAAATTACTATTTACATATTTTTATATATGATTTATTATAAAATGCAAACGCATAAAAATTATTTCGTTTATACTGTAATTTATTTTCGTCTATTCTGTATTATATAATATTTTCTTCGTTTTACATAATATATTTTGATCCATTAATAGCTATTGTATTTTATCATAGTTTATAATCAAATCAGTCAAATATTTCCCTTTTTTGCATAGATGAAGAAGATTAAAAATGTCATTAACTTAGGTAAAAAAGTACTACATGATAATAAAAAAAGTATTATTACATAAAATATGGCCTATTTTTCTCAAAATTACTGTATTTTAGAAATCATTATAAATATCTTTTATTTTATTATATGTTTCTTTAGTACAATTCTAATAAAATAATTATCGGTTGCATTATCGACATGGCTTTTTTTATTCATAAACCATGATAGCATCATATACAAATTGCTCTTCAAACTTGTATAAGAAATTTTCTAAGTGACTAATTTAATGAGAAAACATTTGAATTATACAAACAGTTTAAGGATAACAGGAAAAAAAATGTTGATTAATGTAAAATAATCACAACATTCAACTTTACTCAAGTACGTACATACATAAGGTGTGTTTAATTATTAATCAAATATTTAAAAGATTATTTAATGTAAATAAACCGGCCAAAAATTAATGTTATTTATATTCAGGAACAAGTATGCGATCCTGGATATCTGAAAATGTCTTCACTTCTGATCCCCATAACCTGTTGAAAAACAATAAATCGTTTTTACTTTTTATATCATAATTTATTTAATTAAAATTTTATAAATAATGTAATTATATGTAGTTGAACTGTTGAAGTATTTAAACTTATTACCAGCAGTCAATACCAACAGTTTTTGCTCCCAATTTATCTGCCTTTTCATCATCTCCTACGTGTACAGCTTTTGAAGCTTCCACATTAATCTCATCTACATTATCAACAATCCATATTCTAATAAAAAAAAAACATCATTTTTATATACAAGGGTAATATGGTCATTTGTTAACAGTTCTCAAATAAACAGTCATTTGTTATTTAGCAACATTTCTACACTGAAGAGTAAAATGGTCATTTATTTAGATTCAGACGACAAAGAAACAGTTTTTATGTATGGTCTGAATGAGAATAAATGACCATTTTACCCTTTTCGTCTAGAAGTGGTGCTAAATAAAAAATGAAACAAGAACACCCCTGTATAATTTCCCGATTAAGTCATGTATCTGTTAAGTCAAAAGAAACAGCATTTTAGTCTTACATACCAAAAGTAGTTTCAAAAACTGCATCTTTTTTGGACTGAATGAGAGTAAATGACCATTTTACCCTTTTAAGTCATAAAGAAACAGCACTGTAGTCAGACAACCTAAAGCAGTTTCGAATATTTTTGCATCTGGCTTTTCAAACCCAACTTCTGAAGAAATTATGACAGCATCAAACCTAACAACAAAATTACAAATTCAAGAAACAATAGATGATAAATGGATGATGTTAATTGATTCGAATTATTACTTACAAGTCTATAACATTAAGTTCCTGCAACAGTTTCCTCAAGCGGGTGTCAAAATTGGAGACAACAGCCATTTTAACTGTATAAAAAATTTGGAAATTTGGGATTTCAGATAAACAAATAGATGAATTACTCTTTAAATTTTGTGTGATTAAAAGATTAATATAAGAGTACTTGATGATTTTGACCTCCAGCCTCTTTTAGAATCAATATAGTTTCATAGGCTCCAGTTGGAAGGTGCCAAGCATCACCATTGGCGTAATACTGGTTAAAGAGTAAAAAATGAACATTCATCAAGAGTGTAAATCAACTAAAAGTAGAAAAGAAAGTGAGTTATTAGCCTATTAGGTGAATCACCTCATAAACTTCTTCAAAGTAATCATTATTGGCACAACCAGTGGCTTCAGAGACGACGAGCTTCCAGAATGGCCTCCCATCTCCCTAATAACCAAAAATGAAGTATAATTTTGTAAAATTATAGCAAAAAAGCTCAAGATTTTCATGATAATGGTTGAGTATGAAATGGAGAACAAGAGATTAAATGTGTCAATGTCACCTGATAACGAAGCTTTTCAGGCCATGGAGCAGAAAAAGCTCTTTTAAACCCTTGTTTTATATCAGCTGGAGTTGCATTTAAACCTATTGAAATCAACAAATAGAGCAACATTAAGATGTATAGATAGTTTGTAAAGTAATTTGAAACAGAAATTGATAGATGAAGTGATGAAAAAACCAAAAACGGACCATATTTATGACCGATCGATGCGTAGATATCTTCGACGGGTTTTGTCAATTGCAGAAGTGTTCCACCTGCATCCAACAACAAACCGTCGTACGCTCTCTTCACTGTTCTTCCATTTGCTGCAACAAAAATCGAATTAGGGTTCTTAACATTGATGTTAATCGAATTAATGTGGTAAACAGAAGGTAATTAGAATCGGAATGAGTGATTGATCATCTGATTGACCTGTGTAGAGCGTAGTGGGAGACTTGGAAGACGACGAGCATCGGAGTCCGATGGGCTTCTTGAAAATCATATTCGAAGGCTTTAGAGCTCTGAAAAGAGCGCCGGCCTCCATGGCTTATTTTGAGGTTACTGATGACCACCGCTGTAGAGCGATTACCACTAGGCTCGCGGTGGTTGTTGCTAAAATGAACCGTATGTTAACCTTGGATTCTTGGAGTACCATTCTTACCGATCACAAATAAGATAAAAGATTATAATTGCTTTACTAGTATTTCTTAGCTAAAAAATTAGTAATCAATAAAAAGTTATCTTGGGTAAAATCTTAATGTTTTAGTTTAATTTATGAAAAAGAAAATTATAATTAAATTTTGTTTATAGGAAAGTATAGAATATCATCTAAAAAATCTTTTTAATTTATGAAAAAGAAAATTATAATTAAATTTTGTTTATAGGAAAGTATAGAATATCATCTAAAAAATCTTTTTTGGCCGGTTTCTCATACCGATATATTGTCCTTTGTAGTTAGTTTGGTCAAAATATTAAAACTTTTTTGAAAATTTCATTATTTTTAACCAATAACCAAAATATTGAAATTTTTTTGAAAATTATTATGGAATTAGTGGATATTATTATTAACCAATCATTTATAAACATAACAAATATTTTTATTATAAACAAAGGAAATATATTTGTTACTAATTTCTAGGAATCAGATGGTGGACTAAGTACTTATTTATTGTTTGTTGATCACTTCAAACTCTCTACATTTTTTCTATGTATCGTTGTGGGTGTCATGGTGAGATGTATTGTGTGGACATTCCTCTAATGTTGGTGTTCCTCTTATGTTCTTTAACCTAACTATCATCCAACATCCATACATCACCTAGTAGCAACCATCAAGTGTGAAAAACTAAAGGGTTTCTAGCCCAACAATATCTGATGTTACCCTCCCTCCTTGAGGTTGATGGTTCAAGTCCTGTCGTGGACATACATGCATTTAAGGTGTAGTTTAGGAGTAGGTTAGATTTGTCGTTTCAAAACTAAATTAAGTGTGAAAAGTGAACCGTGAATGACAGTTTATATGGAAACAGGTGAATGGTGATTATTTATAGAAATTATCAATCAAAGTTCACTTTTCACTCTCGATAGATGTGTGTAATTTGATGGTTGTTACTAGGTAATGTATAGAGGTTAGGTGGTGGTTAGATTGAAGAACATAATGAAAGATCTATATGCTCAAGAATCATTGTGTAATGATAATTTCTAATAACATATAATCATATAGGGTCACACATTATAACAAGTAGACACTTATTGATTGATTATTAAGTAATTTGATTATTAATAAATATTATCAACTTTTATACTTAATTAGAGAAATATGCATAGTACATCTCACCATGACACCCACATCGATGCAAAGGAGGAATGTAGAGAGTTTGAAGTGGTCAACAAGTAACAGAGCAGTACTTAGTCCACCATTTTGTTCCTAGAAATTAACAAAAAACGTATTTCCTTTGTTTATAATAAAAAATATTTGTAATGTTTATCTCGACCTGCCTCTCCGGAGGTATCCCTGGCAACTCCTCTGGAAACACATCTGCGAACTCCCTGACCACCGGTACATCGGAAACCGAAATCTGATCCCTGACTCGCGTATCTACCACATACGCTAGATAACACGCACACTCGTGCTGAATGTACTGTCGAGCCCTGGCAGCTGAACAAAACCCTGATCCCACCCTGGTGCCCTCGCCATATACAATCAGTTCTCCCCCACTTGGGGTTCGAACTACCACTCGCTGGCCCTCGCAATCAATCATAGCACCGAACCGACTGAGCCAATCCATGCCCACAATCACGCACACTTCCCCCATGGGGATCAGAATCAAATCTATCGGAAAGGACACCCCGAAAATCTCCAGGTCACACCCTCGATAAACTGAAGAAACAGAAACCCCGTGTTCGTTGGCGATAAACACTCACAACGGACACTCTAGCTCGCCCACTGGCGCACTGAACTCCCTACTAAAAGACTGAGATACGAAGGACCGACTCGCCCCCGAGTCAAATAAGACCAAAGCAGGCAAGGAGTTCACTACAAACGTACCTAACCACAAGGTACAACAGATAAGCATACAACAGATATAGGAAACGAGATAAAGGATAAAAACATACCAGCAACTACATCTGGTGCTGCTCTGGCCTCCTCCGTTGTAAGCTGGAAGGCACGACCTTGAGCCTTCGTAGGCTCTGCCCTGACTGGTCTCCCATCCGTGATCCTCAAAGTAGCCGGCACTGGAGCTTGCGCCGGTTTGGCGGCGAGTAACGGGCAGTTGGCCTTCAAATGGCCAACCTGATCACAATGTTAACATAACTTCATACTCGGTATCGGAACGGCATGTCGACAATCCTTCGCATAGTGTCCCTCCTTGCCACACCTGTGGCACCCACTGTTGGCTCGACAAATCCCGGAATGAACCCTGCCGCACTTTCCACAAGAGCGGCTCTGCTGACTCCCAGACCTCAAATCAGCGGTCTTAGATCACTTTGGCGCCGGCTGTGACTGTGCCGGGGCCGGCCGCTGCTCCCTCAGCTGCAGCTCAATCTCTAACTCTCGCCGTCTGGTGGCCTCCTGTAACTCCAGAAGAGTGTCACATCGCTGGGTAGATACAAACTGTCGGATATCAGTCTTGAGCATACTCAGATAACGGGTCATCTGAGACTGCTCGGAAGCAAACTCTAGGCAAAATATCGCCCGCTCAGTGAACATACGGGTGATCTCCGTCACCGACTCCCCATCCTGTCTCAAACTCAAAAACTCCTGTGCCAACCGCTCCCGCTCAACCCGTGGAATGTAACGGGCGAGGAACATATCCCTGAACTGCTCCCAAGTAACAGCAGCTCTCTGATCATCAGTGTACGACCCAGTCGCAAGTCTCCACCAGTCCTTGGCCCCAGACCTAAGCAGGTTCAGAGCACACCTGACCTTCTGGTCAGCAGGACACGCGCAGGTGAAGAAACACCCCTCCACGTCTGAAATCCATCTCATAGCCTTGATGGGATCCTGCGTCCCATCATAAGTAGGGGGATTCGTGTTATCGAAGTCCCTGTACTGAAAACCTCTACCAACTCCTCCTCCTGCCGCTGATACAACTGATGCAGCTGTTGCGGCGGCTGTCTCTGCAAGGGCTGCATAGCGCTCATCAAAATACTCCACCATGGCGGTCTTAATCGACCCGAACATCTCCGGTAACTGAGCCCGGAATGCAGCAGCAACCTCATCATGCAGGATCCCTCGAATCCTGGCATCCAACTCCTATGTACCCATCTGCACCACCGGATCGGGTGCTGTCGGCCCCTCCTGGCCTCTGTCCCCTGATCCTGATCCCGAACCAGATCCAGCCACGAAGCGCCTCATCATCACCATTTTGAAACATACCACAAGATATCAGATAATCCATATAAATCACTGGGAACCAACTCCCTACTAACCCTAGGGATTGTGACTTACTTGACACGCGTATGGGTCCTGTGCTTTCAGTAGTACGGGCCCATACTACCTTCCACACCTACCCGTATTTGTCTCAAGCATCATCACAATGCCCTAGCTGAATTCACAACATGGCGAGCGCTCAACCCTCACCCTAGAGGAAAGATAAACATCTCCTAACTGGCCTCCCGGCCTCACTCAACCCTCCTATCCATGAAACTTCCACCAACCCTGCAGCACTAGTGTATGCTAGCCATACATCACACTGGACCCTATAGACTTTCGAATATCCAATCCTACCCTAAGCTCCCAATCAAACAAGAACAGAACATAAGGCCAAATCAAACATTCTCAGGCTATAAGATCTTAATTATGTACAATTGTGATGCATACACTAAGCAACTACAATAATGATGTCAATCTCATATAAAGGAAACCATAGGCTAGCAGGCATCATGTAATCAGGCAATTCTATCATGCAATTCCTGAAGATCCCTAGCCTAGCACTAACATGTTGTTCTATCATATCACATAATCAGATAACTTGTATGGTATTTTGGGGTCTACTTACTGGCTCCGGCTGATCGTACGCCCTGCATCCTCCTTTATTTATTTTGAAAACCTTTTTGAAAAATCATTTTGAAAATCCTTTCCTTGATTTGAGACTGGAGTTACACGAGTGTTCCTCCAATTCACTCAAACCAAGGCTCTGATACCAACTTGTAACACCCAAAAACTTCGAACAAATTTAAACTTTCAAAACATGTCAAGTTCATCAAAACATTACAACTTTGTTTTCAAAATACATTCTATCATAATATTCCCAGAAACATAAACATAACAGGAGGAGCTGTACGATCATGCCTTCGCCTTGCCGCGATCCCCTGATGTACCTGAAACAATAAACTGAAACTGTAAGCCCGAAAGCTTAGTGAGTTACCCCCAAAATACTGATACACATACAGTCCACATAACCATGTCAACAATAACATATCATAACAAACTGAACAGAACAGCACATAACGGGTCCACAGCCCTACAGACTGTAATACCCCCGAGCCCACAGTACGACTCTCCCTCAGCCCGTAACTGGAATGCTCCCGAGCCCACAGTACGAGTCTCCCTTAGCCCATAACTGGAATGCTCCTAGTGTTTGTTGGCTACCGCACGAAGCAGTACAACCTCAACCCATCCCATATAACAATCACATAACATAACATAACCACTGAGCATGCAATAATCATATAACATCACAGGTAGTCCTATAGGTCTACCTAACTGGCATAACCACTAGCATGCAACACTAACTCATACCCAACATCTAACACTGCTAGGATAACATATCCAATGGGCCGGCCTTGGTGCCTTAGACCCCTTAGTATAGTGAGGATAACTCACCTCGCAAATGTCGACCCGGAAGATAAAACCCAACTCTCAAATCACTTGGCACAGGCTCCACCACCTAATACCATAGCACAATATACTCATAAGTCCTTAACCTTACAAGGTACTCCATAACCCACTAGTCAACCCCTGGTCAAAGTCAAAGTCCTCAGTCAAGGTCAACAGTCCATGTTGACCTTACTCGCCGAGTACCCTCGGCTACTCGTCGAGTTCCTTGAAGCACTATCCCACTCGCCGAGTCATCGAGGTAACTCGTCGAGTTTCTCCGATTCTCGACCAAACTCTAAGGCCACCCGTCAAGTTTTCCTTTTTGCACACGA